AAAATGGGTTTCTTTGTCACTATGGTACTGTGATCTTTAATTAACTAATGTGACCTTGCAAGGAAACCTTTCCATTTATTCTGAGACCTTTTAAGAAGGTCTCATGTCTCCTCAGCTCCTATTACAGAGCTTGAGGCTAGAGGTTGTACTAGGTCTTCGGCCTAGTACATAAGAGTTCATGGTCGTGGTAGCTTGAGTAAGACATTCCGGATTTATATTAGCATTACCTCTGGAAGAAAAACCTCTTCCAGTTGTTCCCACCCATAGGGCATGGGAAACAAATCTCTTAATAGAGGCAAACGAGTCATTAGCCCACAGGAGCCTACAGTAATAGGTCCCTGTTCAGTTCTTCATGTGAGATCTACAGGAACAGCCACTGGGTATGTGCCTCAATGAAGCTATAGGTGGCGTTATCCTACAGCTGCCAAACTGGATTTTTTCTTTTTATCCACAGCTCCATCTATAATATAGTTTTAATTCTGAAAAAAAACAAAACAAAACTCTAATTCAGGATTACTTAATAGTCAAATTGACATTTACAAGACTATGTTTTCTTAACACTAAACTTGGCTGCAAAAAATTGGGAGAGGTTTCCCCAGTACTGTGCGATGACACCATCTGTCAATGATTAGTGGGATTTACAGGAGAGACCGGCACATATTTGACTAACCATTTCACTGCTGGCAAAGTAGGCACATAAAGGTAACCTTAGTTGTATCCAAAGGTCACTTCTGTAACTGCTGCTGAAACAGTCCAAATTGGCAGTGGAATTAAAATTATCAGGACTGAGGAAATAAAAAGAGACACAAACCTCTGACCATCTGCAGATACAAACCCAGATCATAACCTTTTGAACCACTGAGATAAATCCCTCATCTTCTGCTACATTACTCTCAAATATCCAAACCAGTCTCCCCTATACTTTTCATGAAATTCAAGCTGCAAGCAAAAATACACTGGCTACATTTTATCACTGTTCCAATCCAAAATCATGATAAAAAGGACTGAGAACCTTGCCTTCAAGAGGCAAAATTTGCTGACTTATGCCCCAAACAACCATGACATAAAACCCATAACTCCAAAACATACCCTAAATGGATGCCCAGCCCCTTTCACTGAAAGCACAGCCTGTTCCCTTCTCCAGGTTTTTAATCCATGGAGAACAAAATGATTGTGGGTTTCATTCATGGATACCAAAACAACCAGAAATCTGGTTGGTTAACACAGAAAGACAAAACATAAAATTCAGTGAGGGAATCGGCAGTGTATTCGAGAACTGCTTGTTACACTACATCACATTTTTCCTATTTGCAGATACAAACACTGTTCCTTGAAGCCATGTCCTCTTTTCCTCCTCCTCCTGTCTCTCCACTCTTGCCTTGTTGATGCTTTTGCCCAACTTTCATCACTAGTGCGTATTTCAGTGTCTTTTACCGACTAGGCTCATCCTGGGCACTGACTTCAGAGCTCAGAATTTCCCCATAGCCACGAGAAATGATGCGACGATTTCTCCCTCTCTTCCACACAAATTTGTTTTCCCCACATTCCCACTCCCAGGCTTTCACAGAATCACCTAAAGTCCCAGAGAGCATGTTTAAAAATATATAAATAAGAGAGAAAAGGGTAAATGTCTAGATGTACCAGGCAAAACAAAAATGGAAAATGGTCCCACAGCCATCACTTCGTATCCCCCAGTGAAACATGAATGAGTCCTCCAGCAAAGAGCAGCCTGAGGAAACTGCTACATTCCTACAGCACAAAGTATGGACTGTATTTTTTATATCCCTCCACATGACAGCACAGGTGTCTAAGTTACAGTGAAAAAATACAGCCCAGAGAGAGCTGCAGAAATGTTTTGAAAGAAAAGAACACTGAGTAGGTCTTTAACAAACTTTGCACCCATGCTAGTTTCAGTTATCTTTAGTAATTTCAGAGTGATGAGTGATCTGGGAATTTCTGCATCACATTAGCGTAAGTTCCTATTTCCATCCCTATAGGATCCTAAGTTATTAAAATCTATGAGGCCCAGGCACGTGGGAGCCAAATTTGGATGCCTGTACTCACATCAAGTAACACATTCTGTTCAAGCTCTGCCAATGCCATCAGTGGGTGTAGCTAAAAAATGAATCACTACTACAGAAGTAGAGATCTCAAATCCCAGGTTTTATAACTATAAGCGGCCCAGAAGTGAGTCTCAGCATGCACAAACTTTGAGCTGGTTGCAGGAACTGATGAGAAATATCCCGTAAACTAGAGGACATGTGACACCCATATGGGATGAGAGCACAAAATTGCAACCCAGTGATTAGCACAAAGATCTGAGACTAAGGAAAGAAGTTGAAGGCAAGATCCAGGAATCAAAGCCACAGATCAGTCGTGGAGCTTAGGACTTCATTTTTGACCAGTGGGGAGCCATCATGGACACTGCCTACCAGAGCTACAGCAAAATGCGGACTGACCTGTGTGCCCATGATGAACAGAGAGGTCTTACTTACTCTGCTGAGTGAAAGTTCACATCTCAACCTCATGAGTTCTGATACAATCGTAATTTTCTCCTGGCCTTCAAGTGTCTGTATCAGAGCTCTCTCAGGGAAGGTAATTACTTGGAAAGGTCTCCAAGAGAAAAGTAAAACCTCTCCCTGTCATGCTGCCTGATCCCATGAACCAGGGGAAGTCTATAGACTTCACAAACCCATTCACGGCAGCTTGAGAGATGAAAGTCATGCTTTGAAGGCAAAAACATTCAAGAAAGTCTGCCTCAGATAAAGTCAGCTGCGTTCAGATCAGATGAAGACTGTCCCATTTGATGAAGGATGCTTACCTGAGCCCCTATAAACAAACAATGCAGAACAGCACAAACAAGCAGCTTGGTCTCTGATTTTAGCATCTTCCTATCATTATTATTTAACCTTACCTGGAGGATTTAATTAAGAGGTTTAGTAACGTAGGATTTGACAGGCTGATGAACTCCTCAGAATAATGGCTCATGTCCCTTTGAAACTTACAGCTATATCTACTTTCTCCCTCTTTCACAGCCTAATGAAAAGAACCACCAAATTCCTGAAGCTAGTATTCTCCTTGCATTTCTTTTCCTGTATACATCTGACAAGCCAGAGCTTGTAAGCCATCACAGTAAGCTTTAAAAAGAAAGAAAGAAAAAAGGAAGAAATCAGCTAAGAAGACTTATCACATTCCAGAATTTCAACACCTCTGACCCCTGCATCACAAATTGGTTCAAATCTCTCTCACTCTGAGAAAAACCTAATTCATTCTCTTGGAAAATTTATCGTCAGTGGGACAATATTTCTCAGTGGAATAAAGATTCCTAGGTCTATGCCATACGAGTCTTAACTAAAGAAGACTTCTACGTTTTCTAAGACAGACACATAAAACAGACATATTAACCATTATTATATGAATGTAGAAAATAAACCACAACACAGCCTCTCCTTTAGAAAGATTTTCTGCTTTGTTCCACTTTATTTTCTAAGAAAGCCTCTCCCCTAAGCAAAACTGTACTATTTGAAGTGTAAGGTACCATTATCCCATAGGACCACCTATTCTACCCCTCAGAAGGATGCACCTGAAGAGGAGCTACACTCAGCTTTTTCATGTGCACCCTGCACAAAATGAAAGGATTTAGGATAGTTGGGTCAATCAACCACCTGCCATAAGAACATAACCTCCTTTCTTTCACTATGGAAATGTGAAACAGTAACGTGGTCAGAAAAGATTCTAGATCTTTGATACGTTTTGCAGGACCCTACAACTTCCTTTTCTTCATGTTCAAAAAACTTCTTATACTGTCCAAAATCCATAGGTACACTAAGAGAAATCTTCCTTGATGTCACAAAGCCGTGCTTTAAATGTGGGAGTCTAAAAGTGTTTAAAGAGATTTGCAGAAGGACCTAGGCAATTTGAAAACCCCATGAGGTATCTATCTCCACTGCAAGGTGTGGAAGTATTGCAGGTACAATCTATAGGTATGTTGGGCCTGGGTGTCAGATACTTTCAATGGTGTGAAAAAAATTCTATGATAATTTGACTCTAAGATATATACACCATGCTCTGCAATTATGAGTCAATTCTTAAAGTTGCCCAAGTCTTTCTTATTTTTACTGTTCAGAGTCTCTTTTCTTTAATATTATGATAATTTTTGGCCTTAAATACCAGGCACTTCTTTTAACTATTCACAGATTCTGCCAAGCAGCACTTCTATGCACACACCATCATCTGCATGTAAAAAGTACAGCGTTAAGAATCTGATTCAAGCCCCAATCCTCAATTTAACTACAGAAGAATATTGCTGGGTTTTCTCTTCTGCACTGAAGTCAATTCTTGGGCCTTCATGGAGGACAGAAGTTTGGAAAAGCCTCATCTGCAATAGAGAAGCCTGGAGACAGGAGCTAAATTTGTTTAATCATCTTTTTTTAAGATACTTTCTCAATTTCGTAAGCTGACACTTGGGAAATGGAAAGGAAGATAGTCACAAAGCAGTTTTTTAGCAAACTGTTTGTAGATTTTGGGCTCTCACCAGTCAGTAGAAAGGAAGTGGCTCCCCCAGCAGTTGCATAAGGAGGCTGGTCAAGAGCTCCAGCTCTGCAGAAAGACTGTTGTAGGCTAAAGTATCTCTTAGAAGGGTTGAAAAGTAGGAGGCCTAATGATCATAACTCTGTCACTGAAGCATTGGGTAGTTTCTCTGTCTTACTGTAGGTAGGTTATAACAAAGGAACAGAAGTTTTGCACTTATCAAATGACTTGCGGTAATCTGTACAAGACCCCACTGTTACCAAACAAGAAAGATGTACAAATATGGAGACTATAGCACCGCCAGATACATACTGTGGAGTATATAGTACTGATGATGACCAAAGGCAAGATTGGTCTTACTGTTCTTAATGAACTTAATGTTCAAGTAAAGCAACCAATCCCTTTAAGCTAGATGCCCTTCTTGCTTCTATGATCTGCTCAAAACAAACAAAGCCTGAGGCATAACTCACCAGTAAAACCTGTTTGGAGTGACCCGTTCATGCATTAGCTGCCATTTTCTTCCAAAGTCCATGGAGCTGTACAGCTGAAAAAGAGAGAGAGAGAAAGTTTAAGCTTTGAGGAAGAAGAGGAAGGGCTGCTGCTAAATAAAATATCCAAATCAGCTCAGATTAAAGGACAAAAATGGATTGTCCCTCATAATTATCGATCAGCCTCGCTGCCAGGAAAGGCTAATAAGGCAATCTCCTTCCCTCATATTCAACTCAGATTGAGCTCTTGTGACTCAAAAGCAGGTTGGCTCTTCCAAACCCTTTCAAACTTTTTTTGTGCTTCCTGATCTCAGCTGACAACACGTTCACTTTGGCCACCATATGACAACACTGGCAGTCCCCCTGGCTTTTTCAGCCCAACAGGAAGCAGGTGATTGATGACATGTAAATACCTAACATTAAACAGAATCAGAGACAAATTAGATCAGTTGACTGATGTGATAGGTAATGGCTCCATACTCAAGGTCATTTTATGGTGTTTATTACATCTCTCTTCTGTGTGGAAAGAAAAGGAGATTGCTCGTAATTTATGTCTTTTATGTTCAGACCAAGTTCTAAATTTTGAGATAAGTTAGAAATCAATCTGCTCATTGGTTAAACATTAAAGATAGTGAAGTGGCTCTTCTTGAAACCCAGATTTGCAATATAATCATAATTTTGAGTCCTTCTGGCTAACAAATGGCACAGCTGTTCCATGCAACTCCACACTAAGTCTCGGACACAGGTTTACTTCATGCAAACTCTGCTTAATGCCAGAAATACTGTTCTCCCCATTCTCCATATAATTAGTTTACTACCCACAATCTACTCACTCATAATCAAAGCACATGTAAGCTCCTTTTCTTGAACTCTGAGAAAGTTTGGTTCTTCAGAAAAAAAAAAGAAAACTTTGAGAAATAACAACTCTGTTTTACAACTAGATCACAGAGAAATAAATAGCAGGCAGTGTTTGGAACAGGATTTCAAATAAATTTAATCTGAAATAAATTCTGGCTTAATAAAACAAGGTTTGATTGCAGCCTAAGGAGGTAGATAACAGAGCTGGAAAAGTTAAATGTTTGTAATATCCAAATTTAGGTCCCTAATGGGAAAACGATATCATTTGAGAAAAGGTTCTGCATTTGATTTGATTTTGAGTAACTGAATTTACAAATCAGTGGCAGGTCCATGTTCAGATTAGAAGGGTTCACAACCTAGTGATGCGTATTATGGCACAGTTATGATGAATGGCTAACTGTAACTGGAAGATAAACTATATGCGCTCACACTGAATATTAAAGTTTTTTGAATGGGCAGTATATTTGACCACAGAGCTTCCACAGCCACATCAGAGCTGGACCACAGAACAATTTACAGAGGTGATTGGAAAGGGCTGTTTGAGCAGTGTCCAAAGCCTGAGGCAGCTGATTAATTCTTACCATGTTTGTACTCAACTACACAACCAAACCACTGTATAGATAACAAAAGGAAACAAAAAACTGAAATTCAGACCTCATCAATTATCTAATGCAACTGGTACATGTAAAGACAAAAGACTCAGTCCTTTGCATTTGTGCCACGGGAAGCCCAGTTTCTGCCAATGACAGCTCAAGCTGAATAAGGCACATGAGGGAAAAGGAGTTGGAGGCAGATATCCTCCAATGTTCCTGCCAAAATGGGCTCCAGTTATGTAGACTTCATTCCAACCAACATTGATGGGCCTGTGGTAAGAAATATTAGGAAATATTCTGTGCCCCATTTTCTTCAGGAGATCAGACATGATCTGAATTTCTGATTTGGCTGTAATTGGCACTGTCACTAGATAAGGTGAGATACTGCACTAAAAGCCCACATTATCTGGGCTTCCTCTGCTTTTCTAGTCAGACAACCACAGTGATAGTCTAAAATAATACAGTATAGAATCATTTGACCAAAAACGAATTATCTGTAGATAAAAAATAAAGCTTAGACTGACTGATGGTAGAAGGATTAAATTGAACTTGCAGCCTTTAGGTGATTTTGGATAAAGAGATAAGGAGGATATAATTCATTTCAAGAACATCTATTTATTTATTCACCTCCTTATTCCAGGCATTCACTTTGAATTTTAACCAGATGATTGAGTCTTAAAGCTGTATAACAAAACAATTCCTGAAAGGTCTCTCTGGATCAGTTCACTTTTCTAGTATTATTTACAGATGCAAATGTTAATGTTGAATTACTAAATAAAATATACAAAAAAGCATTTTCTAATACACATTAAAATTGAATACACATCTATGTACACTTTCTGCTCATCTCCTTTAGAAGAGATAACAAATTTAGCAGCAAGTACAGCAGATTTCAATGGAAATTATTTTGGCCTAAGGCTGAATACTAAGCAATGGAAAGAAATGAGGTTTGTTTGGTGCCAAGATCTTCCCTTTTTAAAGCCCTCTTCTGGCTCTTTAGAGATGACTAATCTCTGGCATTTCCTCCTACCACAGCATTCTAAAACACTGGTTCAAGAGGGATGGACTTAGCGTACCATGAGGGTGTACTGTGAGAGTATGCCTTTTCTGCAACCTCCTTATGTTATCTGACCTACTCTAATAAATGAAAAATTAAGACCACTATGGGTCTTTATGTTTGTATGGACTGGTCTTGTGCCTTGATGGTGCTAGAGTTGTACTCAGAGGACTTGACTAAGGAGCAAAATCCAAAATCTGGCTCAAGGCAAGGCTGACAAAATTCGCATTTTAACATGAACTCAGAATCCTGTATCTACCATCAAGGCACCTCAGTAACACAGTCACAGCACCCAAGTCAGTTCCAGCAACCTCTGCATCTATTTGAGTAGACAGGTACCAGCCTCCTAAAAGCTAAGGTGCTTTTGAGAACAAATACATAATATTCAAATTCCCTACTGAGCCCATGTGAATGATGCTTATGTACCCTTGCAGCACACAACAGGGTTTTTTACTAGGCATGACTCTATAATTTCTGCTTGCCTCCAGACTGGCATGTGACAGTGCCACAGGGCAGATGGGATTCAGGAAGGTGAAGGGGCCAGCACTTCATGTCACGTAAATATAACTTTTAATGTGCTCTCAGGCCTGAAGAAGCATCTAAAGTATTATGCTTAAATATAAGCCTAGTCATACCAGCAGGATCCAAGAGCTTCTCTGTTTTCACCCCTGGTTTTGGGGTCACATCAGTTGAGCAGTGCAGGTGCAGTCTTTGAGAATGGGTACTGAGCACAGGGGACAATCTGCCTATGCTCAGAACCTGCTTATACCTAACATTAAAAAAAGGCTGTACCATTCATGCTCGCAACATCTTGCAAAACAGTGCTAATCCATCTGTAGTTCTGCTTGATAACTGCAATAATGTACAAAGACTTCTCTAAACAAACAAAATATATCCTGCTGCTTTGGGTAATGAGGCAGGACTGTTAACAAGGAACATCAGGCCCAAAACTTTGTATGACTACTCAGAAGAAAATGGCAGTAATTAGGTAAAAGGTATTTCTGGCAGGGGGCAGCCAACCAACTCAAGAAACCCACTAACTCAAAAGAAGAGAAAGACTGAGCCTGCATGCCTGATTGCATGAGAAGTGAAAGGGACCTATAACCAATATGGGGTGGAATACTTATTAACAAGTTGTATAACTCTCAACCAATGGACAATAATTTGTCAAAATGTGTAAAAGCTTAAAATTATAATCATTGCGGTGCTTGATTTGTGAAGACTTCCACTGAGCACCCTGCATAGAATAAACAATGTCTCTTTTCTAAACTAGACTCTCTGTCTTCAGAAAGTGCCAAATCAGAAACACTATCAAGAAGGTAAATAGCAAATGTTTACCCAAACAACATCACAATACTCCACACTCAAGGGTGGTAGCACCAGACTTGTCACATCCACCAACACAGTCCTATGTTTTACCAAGAACACACAATTTGTGTGAGGAAAGACCTTGGCAACCTAAATGATACACAACTTTATTTCACCACAGGCCAGAACCTTAACTCATGCTTGTCTTGCTCAGCACAACACTGAATCATAAGGATATTACATACCACAGGCAGATTGCGGCTTCTGCAAACTCTAAGAACACTTGCAACATTTTGTTTAACACTGGCATTCTTCCCAAGATAAGCAGCAAGCCCCTTAAAGAGGAAGCTTTATCTGTGATGTCAGATTCTATGCCGCAAACATGTGTGACCACCAGAAAAAGCTGGAAAGGAAGGAGTTATACACACATGCACACATGCACAGTGTTGCATATGAAAAACATCCCCATGCTCTTGTAATTCTCCAGAACAAATTCTCAGGGTGACAGATCCCGCTGGCTTGTTTGGATGATCCTATTTGGGGCTGGGTAATTTGTTGTGAGTGGTTTATTTTCACAAAGAAAACTAGCAAAAAAAAACCCAAACAAAACAAAAGGATACTTTTACTGAAAAAGACAAACTTCTCTGAACTGGCACAGTGTGAGAAACTGGCCTGCTTATATCCCACTTACAGAAAGAGGGAAGGCAAATGAGCGATGAAGGCAAAACATGGAAACCATAGGAAGAAACTCAAACCCATAATGTTAGTCATCAATGTCTGAGCTAGTCACCAAGGCTCATTTTCAGACTGGCAAGAAACAGGCTTGGGACAAAATTTCCATACTAAGGTACACTTCTAAAATGGCTTATTATTCATGCTTTGGAACACCTCCATTCTCTTCCACAATTCAGCTGAGATTGATTTCATGTTGGGCTCCCTGTTCTCACGTTGACCTGCTTGGTCTTCATGGGGGAAGCAAGCAGAAGAATGAAGATTCAAGGCAAGCTGAAGAAAGGCCAAGTACACAGTCACTTGGGTACACTTTACCACAGAAAGCAGCACACTGAAGGCGTCATGTATAGATTGAAAAGCAGTAGACAACGGACTAAATAAATTCAGAGAGATTTGATATTTATAGACTTCTGTGCTCAAACACAGAAGAATTAGGGCATCAGGAGCATACATAAAAACCTTATATCCAAATAAACTCAAGTATCCTTTGTAGCTATGAAAACAGGCC